TTCCTGTTTTGTATTGTTTTATTGACTTCGATATTGAACACTGTTCGTTATCTACATATCCTTCATTCTAATCTTCATAATCATAAATGTATTTGTATGTATGTATGCGTGTAGGGGAACGCGATTATTATTGACTCTTCATTGTTGATCTTTTAAAAATATATGAATTTGTAAAATGAACTTAAGGGGGCCGACTGTAGTTTCCATTGCGCAATATTTCGCACATCATAGTAAAATGAAGCGTATTTACTGTTTTAAAGCAACTTTTTTCACTTGATTAATAAAATTAAACAAAATTAAGAAATTACAGGTCCAAACATGTAATAACAATTTTATATAACTGAATTTTTAACCAATTGTGCAACTGATAGGTAGGTTGACGTCGATATAGTGTGTTTTTGACGTTATGATAAACTGAAGCTCTTAAAGAGAGGGGTAATAAAATTGTTATTAAATAAAAAGTATTAAACATACGCTCTTGAAATTTAAAACATAGAAATTTGAGAATTTCTTCATAATTCTTATAATTTTTTCATATAATTCCTTTGTGCCCGCCATATTTTGTAGTATAAAACAGGAAAATTCGTTAATTTTTGGCCTTTTGAGATGACCCTTCTGGTAACAAGGCGGTAGAAATTTTGTGTTTCTTACACATAATGTACAATATAGTATTACTCATCATATATTACAGTTTGAACAAAAAGTCTATTGTAGTATTTGTATAATTTGCTTTATAGTGCTAAAATTGGCACTTTCCTATGTAATCCTATAGTGAATGGACTTATATTTCGAGATGGTCCCTTTAAATAACTGGACGATAGATTTCGCCCAAACTTTGCATGTACACTAAAGTTAATGTAAGTTATATATGGTATAAAAATGAAGAGTTTCGCTATTGTAGTTTTTACCCAATAAAACCACAGTCGGCCCCCTCTATTCAGAGGATATCGTTAGTGTGTAATTATATACTTATAGTGTGACTCATTACAAACCTGAATTACTATTGCATGTAAAACTTTGTTTTTAATATGCTCAGATGGTTTTAACTCATTACGAAAACAAATCATTGAGAGAGGATTGTTATAAATAAATAATTATTTCCATGAACTATGTGTGTATTTCCCATCATTTTCTCATATATAACTAGATAAAACATCGGTGTATTGTCAGTTTATTACTTATTTCATTGCTAAATGTCCAATAGTCATAAAACGAAAACGAATTTTTAATTTTTCGTTGTCTCTGGGGCATGCAAGAATACATAACATATGCAAATAACCTTGAAAATATAGGATAGCGATTATAAATGTTATGTTCAGCATTTTAAATGCTACTTAGGGAAGTCATTAAATGTAACACTGTCATGCAAAGATAAAGCCTAACGTCATCGTTCGTCAGGGTTCTTTATGCAAATCAAGTAGAAATTTCATAAATCACAACCTCATTGAAAAAGAAATCAATCTAATATTAAAATTATTCATAGAAACTTTAAATAGCATTTTTTGATTACTTTTTTGCTTATTATTGTCCCTTCTCGAGTTTTTCACTCATATTGAGACGCCACCACTTGTCCATGGAAGGCCTCAAATTGTCCAAAAGTTCCTCGGAATTTTGAAGTATCCACATCTGATTCATACCTCTTGAAGTTTCTCCTTCACTACTGTTACTATCTTAGTGAGGAGTAAAGAAAGAGGCTTGTTTGAACATCCACCAATGTCCATCAAATACTCATAGTGCTTTTGGGAAAGACTCTTCTTGTCCTTAAAACAGTCATTAATTTTTCACAAAATATGTTTAAAATTGGTGAATTAATCTTGGTTTCTCCAAACTAAATGCTCACATGAGGCAAGTACATGAATTTTATCTATACATTGAAGTGATCATAAACTACACTTATATTTTATCAGAACACTAATGTTAGTAAGGCAAACACATATTCAAACGTAAAAACGTAAAGTATGAAATTACCAAAAAAAAAAAAATAATAATAATAATAAAAACAAAAAACAAAAACAAAAAAACAAACGAACAAAGACAGAAGTTCTTTTGATCAGCTTAATGTATGGTAATTATCTCATAATAGCATATTATAATTTATGACATATAAAATGTGAATACTGCTATGGCAAATTTCAAAAAGAAAAGTTTGATTTATTTTTTTAATTCATTCTCCAATACTTACAATGAATAGGTGAAAATAAACATCACTTGATCAAAACCAATAACATCCTATATTTGCTGAGAAAGTATATATGATGCTGACTTTAAACCATGTTTTAGAAATCCCTGTATTATAAACTTATCTGTCAGTAGCTGTCTCGGTTTAATTGACTGTACCTACAGCGTGTTTTTCAGAATCGGGTACACATAACGATAAAGGTAAGTAAATAATTTGTTAAAGTGACATGTAATATACAAGAAAAATGAGAAGCATTTGATACCAAGAAAATATTCATATACCTGGCACCTCGGACCTTTATGTCAATTTTAGCAAAAATAATTTTTTAAAAATCATTCAAAACATGAGAGAAATGGAGATAACGAAGAGTATTCCAGATCAAAAGTCCATAAAATACAAAATAGGAGCAGAGCAAACACGGACCTCCAAAACATCAGAGGTGGAATCAGGTGCCACGGAGGAGTGAGCATCCCCTGCTGACTGGTCACACCCGCTGTGTGCTCTTTGTCATGATCGGAAAAAATCCGTCATCAATTCAGTGTATAAATAATGGACTAACAATAAGTATGAAAAACGTCAGTCAGCATTGGACTCAATGATAAATTGTATTTGCTGAAAAGGTCATTGTATCGATCACAGAACTTAGAAATGATGACTTTAAACGAGACTGCTGATATTCTTGTTTCATCAACTTGTTTGTCAATACTTTACTTCGTTTTAGAAATTATTCATACATAAAGTATTCTCTTGCGTATTGAATCAACTGAGATAAATAAACTCCGTATCCAGGTGACGAAGGTATATTGCTGCATAAGTAAGAGAAGTTGACGATAGAAAAGTTAAAGTCATCACGTTTATCATAGAGCTTGGTTGTTAGATTACCATTAACGTCTTTTTCAAGTAAAATATCCAAATATGAAACAGACATGTGAAATTACCATTGATATTTGACAATACGTCGTCGATATATTTAATGTTAGAGTTGAAGGCCACAGCAAGTGTTTTCTTCTTTTCACGTATAGGATTTTTTTATCATATGCTTATAAGAAAGGTCTGCTTATCAATAGATTCCAATAGATTGCTATCCAAAACGACATAGATATTGTATCGACAAGTATATTTTAATATCAAAGAACTTGTGTGTACAAATTACCATTGATATTTGACAATACGTCGTCGATATATTTAATGTTAGAGTTGAAGGCCACAGCAAGTGTTTTCTTCTTTTCACGTATAGGATTTTGCACAAATTCTGCTTCATATGCTTATAAGAATAGGTCTGCTTATGACGGGGCGCAATTGGTACCCATTGGATTCCAATAGATTGCTGGAAGACCTGGTCTCCAAAACGACATAGATATTGTCAATCAGAAACTCAAGTATATTTTAATATCAATTTCAGAGTACTTGTGTGTACAATATCAGAATGATTTTTAACAAAATAATTTTGCAAATGACCAATGACAAGGTATGTAAATTTACGAGTTCCATTTTATTGAAAAAGCAGCTGTCAATGATATCGAAAAGCCTGGCCTGTATTAAGAATATAAAGATTTACCTGAAAGGTTTAGTACACTTGAACCTTTGTTTTTATATAGGTGTTTTTCTTCATTGGTATTTGAGAGAGAAAAATTCTATAAAGATGACCATATATAAAAAGTGTTAATATTTGCAAATTGAACAACCTGATAAGCATCTAACTTTCATATATTTTGATTTTTAAAAGGAGGAATTATTTTATTATTATGTAAATCAATTAGGCCAGTTTTTGAATTGGTCTGAGTATCCCCCCCCCCCCCCCCCCCCCCAAAAAAAGAGAAAAATAAGCAGGCCCTTTAATAACTAATTTGACTACAAGGTGTTTCATTTTCCTGATAAATACACAGGTCCCGTGTGTAGTGTCACTGGTTGGTGGGGATGTTTACTCCCCCTAATTACCTGATTCATCATCTGGGTCTCTGTATTTTATGTCTTCTTTGCTGATTGGTATTTTTGCATTTTTTTTTAGATCGAACACAATTCGTTATCATTACATGCACTTTCCCTTTGAAGAAGTGTCCTTCGGTGTGAAATTTTAATTTCTGTAATGATTGAAATCAACAAAGCAAATTTTTTATGATCGGCTGTTGTTTATCTCAATTAAATCAACCGGATGTTTCTGGTGTACCATGTAATGTTGAAATCTTTGAAAGAGATTGTAATTTTGTTTTAAACTTTGGAAATAGGAATATGAAGCTGTAGAAATTCGATTCTATGATAAAAAAAAAACAGAACCGGAGTGTTTATTTTCTCACAAATCAATCTCTTATTTCCAAGTTATTATGTATAGCTACTAACAGTAAATATATTTCAGAAAAAAAATCATCATAGTGTAAAGTGGATTTCTGATATACATGTAGTAGTTGCCTTGTCATGAAAAAAAGAGAATTACATGATGTATGGAATTCTTATGAAATATTAAAAACCTGCCTTTAAAATCGTTAAATTGCAGACGAGTTCTTTCAGTAGCATTAAAATATTGAAGAAAAGCAAAATTAAGAAAGCCAGGACAAAATAGATTTTCTCAAACAATTGATTACATTGCATTGTAAATACAAAATATTTATTGGCGAGTTCGACAATGTTGCAATATTGTATTACAAACAGTGGCGAAATATGTCAAATACATTATGTTTATCGTCTCATAAATATCCAATACCCACTGAATACATGTAAACACTCAAAGAGTGTTGATTGTAAGGAGAATCGAACACGTTTAGAAATGATCTTTTAAAACTCAACATAGATAGAACAGGACGGAGATCGATCCACCTGTACGTCGATGTGGTTGCCAAGCAACAAGAGGCGAACTGAATCAATGGATTCTACCTCACTATTAAATATATGAATAGCAGGTTCGTACCAGCAGAGGATATATTAATTCTGAGAGAAAGACGTTGAGCAAACATATTGGATTTTTTTGTCTTTGGTCCGAGGAAGCTAACGTTCACAAACTTCATCCTAAAAATGTCGGTGATTTTAACAGCCTGTAGAAAAAGTAAGCAAAATGCCATTGAGAAGGCGCTCAAGAAGAAAGCAGCTGATAAGTAAGTTCTATTTTTGTTTGAAAATATGAAACATTCGCCCGATAGCAAACTACATGCATGTTAATAATGTATGATATTTTTAAAATGACTTCACATGCCAGGCCACTGCCTAGATTAATTTCTTTTTCCACTTTTGTTACTTATTAGAGCAAAGTCGACTTCTGTTTTTGTAATTATTTAACCTATTTATTCTGTAACGAATAATCCTTAGGCGTGAGGTGTTTTGCGGCCTGTGTGAAACTATGCAGAGAACGGGGAACCGATGCGAACTGTTTAAAAACACATATTTGTATTAATTCAAGGATTCAATTTCAAGTTGAATAATATCATATGTAAGGTGGTACTTATGATTGTGAACTCAGGGTTATACGACTTCTATATGACTTTTTGTTTTTGTGTCTTAGAATAGAGTACATGCAGTAAGTTATATCATAAATAAATTGATACCAGACACAGCAGAGTATTATAACAGGAATATAGACAACCTTGGTATCTTTTGAGAGAGACATAGATCAATTAGTGACAAAGTGTTTCATCATTAAGCTTTGTGTGGCATACTTTGTACATGCACCAGAAGTCCAGACCTTCCCCTCCTCATGCAAGTGTCTGCTGAACTCATACTTCCTCGATCTGATTTAAGTTAATGAAGAATCATGTAATATTAAAATATCACTGAATTGTCCATGTTCAAGACATAATCAGAAGAGGCATAGGGCTCTAAAGAATTTGAGCATTAATTAAGGCCCATCTTTTCCCTAATTATTGCTTTTATTAAAGGATATAGAAAAGTCGTAAATTTCAAAGGTGGCAGCATGGGGTTTTTATATTTTTGTAGTCTCATATGGTTTAAAATCATTTAAAATTAAAATTGCACAATCATAATCTTACTTTTCTTTTCATCCCGTAAGCAAATTTATTGCAACCTTTGAAATTTTCCCACATTTCATAAAAATAAGGTTAAACTTTCAACTCAGTAAAAGACAATACTTGTATCTCTTGCAAAAAACGGACCTTAATCTGTACATGTATGATTGGAGAGGGTTTGCAGTAATGAGATTGATCTAGAAACGCCCTTGTCTTTGGGATGAATGACAGGAAAAACCACTACAACATGATTTAGCTGCTAGCCTTCTGTCATGTTTTGTGAGTTTTCTGTGGATGATTTCCAGTATGAGTTTAGACTATATTTATCTTTTTCTGTATTTTAATGTTTCAATAAAACTCTCTCTGGGTTATTTCTTGATTTTATTTTTCCCTGTATTTTAATGTATCAATGAGAACTCACTTGGAGTTAATTTATAAATCATCATTAAAAAACATTGAAAAATCTTTTAATACCACACAACGATTATTTTAATTTGTAATATGGTATATACTTTTTGCCTGTAAAATCAATCCAAAAGCATGTATACCTAGATTTTAAACATATTCCTCAGTGTAAATGAAAAATAGGGTATAATAAACAGTAATTAAGCTCAAAAGACCATTGAAACAATACACATTGGGAGCACAGCAAAAGGGACCTCTAAAACATAAGAAATGGCATCAGGTGCAAAAATACGGGATCAGGAGAAAGCATCTCTTCTCGACCGACTACATCCACCGTGTGCTCCTTGTCATGATTGGACAAAAAGGAAAATTCAAGACAGTGTCAGCGTGAAAATAATGTCCTACAATTCGTATAAAAACGTGGGACAGAATTCTACTAAATAATAGTTTGTATTTACTGACAAGGTCATTGTATCGACCAAGAACTTTGCATAATGATAACTTTAAACAAGACTGTTCAAATCCTTGTTTTATTAGCTTGTCTCGTTTTAAAAATTGTTTGAAGGTTAGTAAATTCCCTTCACTTAATTTTTGCAACAATTATGCATTACTAATGTTTAAATCAAATAAACAAAAATGCAAAGTTTTTCAAAGAGTGAACATGAAGGAAAAACTTAAAAAATACTAATCGACGAAAGTTTAGTTTACCAATATAACTGATGCCTGTCCACTTTTAAATTTGTATTCAGTCTCTATTAACATCTAGGAGTATAAAATACCACAGAATGGATACAAAAGCATTTAACCTATTTCATAGAGTCTGCAACATCTTAATGTTGTTATTTACACCTTTGAACCTGTATTTAGTTGGCAGCTCAGCCATTTATAATTGATAGTTAATATACTAAGTAATAAATTACATTTTTGACCATATTTTCCCCCCAAAATTATTATCTTTTTTTTAATTACTTTTTTGTTCTTATGAAAATTACAATTAATACTAAAACTGATTTTAAGTCTATGTTTATAGACTTTATACTGAAACTGCGTAAGTAAGATCGGTAAAATAGTAACAATAATTAAAATGCATGTAAAATTTAAGTAATGTGGTGGTAAACTTAAAATAACATGCAAAAGCTCAGTTTAGTGATGGTAAAACTGAAAATGTTAAAGGTCTCTAAAAGGAGTATAGAATAAAAATGCATGTCAAAATTCAGAAAAATGGTGGTAAAATTGAAAAGTGAATGTTAAGGGTCGACAAAGTAGTGTCTATGTAAAACTGCATGTAAAAGATCAGTCAAGTGGTGTTGAAATTGAAACTGTGTGTTGAAGCTCAGTAAAATGGTGGTAATATTATCTATACTCTAAAGCTTGGTAAATTATGGTAATATTAAGCTACAGTAAAGGCTAGGTAATGTTGTGGTAATGTTATAACTGTTCAAAGGCAAGATCGTTAAAAAGGTGGTTATATTGAAACGGCATGTTAATACTTGGGAAAATGGTGGTGATAAAGGCTGCCTGTGAAACTCGTTGAACGGTAAAATTATTAGAACTTGTTGCAAAAGCTCTGTAACATTCTGATAATGTTAAGCTTAATATGCGAGATCACATATGGTCATTGAAGAATGTTTCGTGGATGTTCATGACATTTTTCTTTAAAATCTAATAGAGCCAATTTTAGTTAACTGAAAAAAAATTAAGACCACAAATATTATTAAAAAATTATTTTATATGAATACTTAAATAAAAATCAAGTAAATTACCTTTTAAACTTTATACAAACGTTACCTCAGGTTTTATATGGATTTTCGGACCGGTCCGTAATATGGGGTATTGTGACGTCACCCGTATCACACCGTGCAGAATCGGTGTATTTACTATACAATTATAGCCTTTTGATGAGGTCAATCCCTCGATATATAGACCTTAAAGAAAGCACATCGACCGAGAGCGAAGTGCGAGGTCGATATGCTTTCTCTAATGTCTATATATCGAGGGATTGTACCGAATCAAAAGGCTACAATTGTTTTATCATTTTTTATCAGTTAATAAGAATTGTCTTAAAATCCTTCTTTCTAATACTCCATCCAGTTTGAGCTAATCAGATAGTTGGAACAATAAAGAAAAATAATAATACTAACTATTACTAAGTATATGATAAAGTGATAATATATTTAACTGCTTTTTAAAGGTCTGAAATGTGGCGTTATTATAAAACTGTATGTAAAAGCTCTGGAAAGTGGCGTTATTATTAAACTGCATGTTTAAGCTATGAAAAGTGGCATTATTATTTAACTCAATGTCTAAGCTCGGAAAAGTGGTCGTTGTTATTAAACTTTATGTAAAAGCTCTAAAATGGGCGTTATTATTAAACTGCATGTATAAGCTCTGAAAAGTGGCATTATTATTAAACTGTATGTTTAAGCTATGAAAAGTGGCGTTATTAAATTCCATTTTAAGGTCTGAAAAGTGGCATTATTATAAAACTGCATTTTAAAGCTCTGAAAAGTGGCATTATCATTAAATTCCATTTAAATCTCTGAAAGTGGCGTTATTATTAAACTGCCCGTTTAAGCCCTGAAAAGTGGCATTATTATTAAATTCCATTTTAAGGTCTGAAAAGTGGCGTTATTATTTAACTCCATGTTTAAGCTCTGAAAACTGGCGTTATTATTAACGACGTTCAATCCTGATATTTAAAGTCTTAAACTTTTTTTGCCAAGTATATTTTTAGTTTCTACATACATAGCTTAATTAAAATTCAAATCAAAAAATGGGGGTCAATATGCTTCTTTTGGCGCTACAGTATATTTGATATGACCTTTTTGCACTGAAATTTGTGTCTTAATTAAAAAGTACATCTTCGACGTTTTACCTGCAATATTTTTATCGAATTAAAGCACGAAACAAAATGAACTCTAAGTCTGTTTAGAAAAAGGCACTTTAAAATTGTGACTGAGAAAAAGTTTCAAATTGCTTCGCATATTTAATTATTTGACCTTTCTGCACTACTAAAATGTGATTTTTCTGGCATTGAAAATTTAATATGCAAGAAAATTATTTTAAAGTCTTAAACTTTTTCTGATTTTAAGCAAATACTTCAAATATATCTTGAATATTTAGAAAAGAACATCAAAAGTGAGGGTATATGCTGTAAATTTTCAGATATTACTAAAAAAGTGTCAATTTTACGTTAAAATTAGCTAAATTTTTTCCCGGATTTTCAGAATATATATACTATATTTGTCACACTTTGTTGAAAGAATTCATAAGAAATAATTTAATAGATATTTCAGAACCAGCATAACACATTTTATTGCAAAAAACAGCTTTGTGTGCAACCAGCATGGAAAAATAGGAATCCAAAATAAACAGTACTTTTATAGTTCAAAAGGGAAAAACTGATCATTTTAGTCTAAAAAACATTCCGCCACAAAATATAGTCCCTAGTTTAACTCTACTTGAATAGAATTTAATCGCGGTTTTTTCATTGAATATAGCTCAATTTGCATTGTAGAATTAAGATTTAATGTTAGAATTTTAAAATGATGCAGAATTTTATAAATACTAGTATGGGACATGACCAAAATCCACTCAAAAGCTCAGGATCGAACGTCCTTAAATTCCATTTTAAGGTCTGAAAAGTGGCGTTATTATTAAATTCCATTTAAATCTCTGAAAAGTGGCGTTATTATTAAACTGCATGTTTAAGCTATGAAAAGTGGCATTATTATTAAGTTGTATGTTTAAGCCCTGACAAGCGGCGTTATTATTTAGCTCCATTTTTAAGCTCTGAAAAGTGGCGTTATTATTAAACAGTATGTAAAAGCTCTGAAAAGTGGCGTTATTATCAAATTCAATTTTAAGGTCTGAAAAGTTATATTATTATAAAACTGCATTTTAAAGCTCTGAAACGTGGCATTATCATTAAATTCCATTTAAATCTCTGAAAGTGGCGTTATTATTAAACTGCATGTTTAAGCTATGAAAAGTGGCATTATTATTAAGCTGTATGTTTAAACTCTGATAAGCGGCGTTATCATTTAACTCCATTTTTAAGCTCCGAAAAGTGGCGTTATTATTAAGCTGTATGTAAAAGCTCTGAAAAGTGGCGTTATTATTAAACGGTATGTAAAAGCTCTGAAAAGTAGCGTTATTATAAAACTGCATTTTTAAGCTCTGAAAAGTGGCATTATTATTTACTAGCATGCTTAAGCTCTGAAAAGTGGCATTATTATTAAACTGCAGGTAAAAGCACGGTTTCATGAATTGATTTTATGCAACATAATCGTGTAAGTTTTGACGAAGATAAGGAATGTCTAAGCTAGCCTCCTTCTTTTGTTCTTTTAAATTTTTTTCCAGTGCCCTTCATGTTTCTAATGACAAATATTATTATGCCATTCTTCTCATAATTGTTAATATTTCAGCAGATATTGAAAACAGTAAACGCGTGATATCCAAAAAATATTTTTTTCTCTTCAGCAATGTTTCTTTACCTAATAAAAAATTGCCCTTTGTAATGAGTCTGCAAAAATCTGGTTGAAATAATTGTCTCCCAATTAATAAAGCAACATGTACAACCGATGAAAGCAAGGATTTGCATAAAATCATATCACAATGCAAACACTTATCAAAGGAAATTTTTGGAGGTTCCCGGAATTCGGTGGTCAATGACGTCAGAGTCGGAATAGAAACTTGAAGTTAATAAGCTTATCAAGAATTTTGCTTTTAGCAAACGAAGAATCGTTAGAGAATTGTTCCACCGATTGCAGTAAATATCAAATTATACTGGCATGCTATTCTCACTGCACTAGATAACATTGTGCAGCATTCGACAGTCTGATGCCCAACGTGTGTAGGTTCAGGTGCTGTGTATCCTCCAAAGTTTGCAGGATCATTATTAGGATTAAATACAAGTATAGAGAATCTTAACAAAAGAAATGAATATATAAAGGACTTATCATGTCATTTAACCAGATTATTTGTCATGACGTGTTATACACTTAATATCCGCTTATTTTCTGAAAGGTGAAGGCCGTGGTAAAATCAATTAAATCCAGAGTCCGGTATCATTTATTTATGTAAAGTAACAGTCTTATCACCAATCAGATATTGATGACAATCGTGTATTAGCAGGAAACAAGGCGCTGATTATTGATGTTCATGTTCATATTAGCACGATATGTATATGAAAATAAATTATGCATTTGATATGTTTGCAAAATTTTTCTTGCTCTCTCTCTCTCTCTCTCTCTCTCTCTCTCTCTCTTCACGCGATTGTGTTAGTGTGTTTGATTCTTTTTTTTATCTTTCGCATTAAAAGAGTAATAAGACCCCAAAATACTCGTAAACATTACTCATTAAAATTTACTTTTGCGTTGTCAGAAAAATGACCGAGAAACATTGGCTTTAATATCGAAGCAAAATTTCTTTAAATTCTTTTTATTGATCCAGATCACTGCATACTTTTTTTTTTATTATATACATTAATGTAGATCTTGCATCATATGTTGAAACATAAATACTTGAATGCAAATTAAATCCATGATCGTTTAGACAAATGCAGTCACACAAACGAATGAAATACAAGATGCACGTACATCCTATACAATATCTACGTTTCAATTGTGCTAAAAAATTAAAGCAAAACATTTTATTCTCTCTTCCATTTTTTTTCTTCAGAAAAGCCAAGCGTGAAGCAAAAGAAGCTCGAATGCTGGCGTACCAAGCGGACCAAGGAATGCCATCGATGCATACCGAATGTCATGACACAACCGTCTGGAACTTCATGATATCTGAGGAAACTTACAATATTTCGTTTAGTAAGAGTTTAAATCTTTCCAAACTCACATATTCATTATCACCCAATTTCCAACATACCTTCTGTTTTTCTGCTTACTTTGGTATTATTCATTGTCGGTCGTTTTTTCATTTTAAACTATTTTGTCACATCTTTGTCTTTTATTTAATTTTCATTTAGAATAGAGTGTAACTGCACGTGAAAATTTTTCATCACTGTTAACTCGAAGCTGCAATAACTTTATAATTAGTGTGATGATTGTAGCATCCAGTTTTATTTACAGGACCTGTTTGTTATCGTTACCTTTTTCATGCTATGTTAGAAAGTAAACACTTACTCAGCTTTTTTAAATTCACTTTTAATATTTCTTTTAGTAAAATCAGGATGGCACGTAGAAAAAAAGGTTTTAAAATGTAATTTTTATCAATGAGGATTGGGAGGTTTACATTACGTGTGTTTTTTTTTTATATAAAGTTGCTAATAAATTATCGTTATATATATATTTTTAAATTTTATTCAGCAGATTTTTAAAAATAATTTTTAATTAGAACGGAACGTGTAGCTTGGCTTTAAATGCGTATGTTTAGATCTAGTTTAACTATAGTTTTCAATAGATTAATTGTAGTTTAATATCTAATACAAATGTGACTACTATATTCCGTAGTATTTTAAGAATTTTTATAAAAATAACAATTAACTTTATTTGAAAAAAGATAACAAAATAGAGTTTTGGACCAAGATAAGGAATGTCTCTAACTATAACATTTCCCGATAAGATTGTTCTTAATCACTTTGATGAAATTGACAAGCATGGCCTTGGCTCTGAGTTATTGGTGTAAAGTGTGAGTAAGAATTATAATCTAATAATAAGTTAATATAATTTCAAACTGTGCAATAATTCCTTCTTGAAAATCAAAATTATTGTTACGTTGCAGCACAAAAACTAACATAAAGGTCACAAGCTCGTTTAATATCGAAATATCATAAATACATAGATGTTTTTGTCATCTTTAAAGAACTTTTCTTTCTTTAAAAAGTACAGAATTTAAGACATCACATAAAACTTGAAGAAGGTTTGGTAAAGTTCTACCTTATCTAATACCAATCGTACTAAAATGTTGACCAAAACCTCAAAAATTAGCAAAGTCGGTAAACTAAACTTAACTTATTGCCTTTTTGTACCTTTTTGCATGCAATTAATACTGACTTTTAACCAGGTATCATTTGTGTTCTTAATGACAAACTTTCATATTTTAACAATGTTTTGCTTAATATTTTAAATAAAAGGCCAAATATATTTAACATTATTTGAACCAGGTCCTTAAAAATGAATATTTCCATTTCTAATTTTTTTCTCTGCGATAACTCTTTGAAAGTTGTCGGAGTTTATTTCTTGATAATTCTGCCGGAATGTAAATTAGGCGGGTCGATAGGTCAGGAGCTAAGGAGGCCTAAAATGCATGCAAATCTCGTGCGCATCTGTCTCTGTGGCTGACGCTAAGGAGGCAAAATGTGCATGTAAATCTCGTGCGGCTGCCTAGGTGTTTGACGTCATTTGGCGAGGACTACTGAAATTGGCATGGAAGTCCTCGTGTAATTTAAGTCTATGTCTACATCTTCAAAGTCTAAATCTACCATTTTATTTCACAATGAAATGAAATTATACGGAATCACTGTCTGGTTAGGATAGTATGCCAGGGACATCAACAATAGTGGGAAACATGGGATAATTTTAGCATAACGGGCTTCGCCCGTTATGCAAATTATCCCATGTTTCCCACTATTGTTGATGCCCTGGCATACTCTCCTAACTAGACAGTGATTCCTTAATTCAGATTTCAGTGATTGGCCATTAAATCCAATGAAACAGATTTACAGGTATATAAGAAATAACATCGAAATTCCAGAAGAAATGACATAGAAATAACAGAAAAACATAAACTGTGGTTTCATCATATTTCGTTGGCATCAATTTTCGTGGATTTTGTAAAATAGACGTTTTCGAGGATACGTAATTTCGTGGACAAAAGCATTGCCTATACAAATGAATGTCATATTTCTTAATTCAATGAATATTTGAATTCGTGGATCAGCTCAACAACGAAATCCTCAAAAATTGGTGCTCAACGAATATTGATGAACCCACGGTATGGCATTTTGTTGACAGTAAGAGAGGATGACCTTAAACTGACCTTCAAGCAAATAACACTAAATAACATACATTTTTGTGATATGTGTATTTCTTAGAAAAAAGCGTAGATGTTACATTAATGATAGAATGTCCACGAAGTAATATGTTTCTATACTTAGAATGTATATTTTGTTAAATGTATTAAGATTTTTCCAGAGTTTTAAAATTTACTTTTTCTATTAAGGTAGGATTCTTCTCATATTTCTTGTATTTAAAAATTAATGAAATTTTCACAGAATCCAGAGGACAATATCACTAAGTGATGGTATCAGTGAGATTAAATTTGACCGTTTAATATTAGACGCAAGGTTAGGTCAAGGTCATTACCCTTTTCCTGGACATTAAGAATAAAACATTACTGTTTCCAATCATGCGATCCCTACTTGTAATGCAAAAGATTGAATGTTTTTCTTTTTGCATAAAATGATACTGCGGTATAGGGCCTATAAGATGATATTACCAAATTGACATCGATAATTTAAATGAAATGGATATTTGCTAATCCGAATTTCCTCTACTTTTCTTAAATTTTTAGGATTTGTTAGTTATTTTTATATGCTTCCTATATTTAACTTTTTCCAATTTTCTCATATAATAAACTTGTCACATAAAGGTACAAAATGATACAAAAATTAAAAGTTTTGATCGTTTACTAAGAGAGAAATAACAGTTTTTTACGGATTTTTGGCGCAAATCTGTACTTAGATTTGAAGCATTTAAAAGCCAACATAGTTCTTGTATGTGTGAAAAATCTTATTTATTTGATATATTTTGAAACTTTAATCCCTTATTATTAATTTAACTTACATTTGAAAATTTCTTCTAGTCTTTGATTGCGTAAAAATTATAACTAAATTCAATGTTCTATAATAATTTTGAGAGGCAGAATAAAACATATTTTCATACGCCAACATTCCGCCAAAAATATAGTCCCTGCTAGTTTTCAAACACAGTTTACCATTTCTATTTAAAGTTGTATAATTGTGATGAGGAAAGAAAAATATGATCTTTTAAATCTCTTACATCTAAATATATAAGACATATCAACAAATACACTTTGAATATTCCATCTAGTCAGAAACCAGAGAAGAATCCTACCTTAAATAAGAAATCATAATATGTTTCCTAATTGTGTCCAATTGATAGATTTTTTCTAGCGTAGACCGAAGAACATGGAAAATAATAAATGAAATTAGCATTCAAGTCATCAAGGATTCGAATTAATTAGATAATACTCGAAAACAATATAAAACATTAAAGAGGTACTATATGCAGTGTTTTAAAATTTACCTTTTGAGGTAACAGATATGCAAATTAATTCCGCCCTCAACAAACTTGTTCTATATTTGGATAATGTGAAATCATATTTGTGAAGCAGGTGTTACAAATCATAAAAGTCCTCTATTCTGTTTTAACAAACTATGTGAACTGCACTCGATATCCAATATCCATTCAATAAAAAATGTAATTACCTCACAGCATTGCAATTTACTGGAATGTAAAACATGCATATTTATTAATAAATTTATTTATTTTTCTTTTTTTAATGCAAATGTCCATGAATTTTAATTGAACCATTTTATGATAAAAGTATATAATTGTTACATGACATTATGAAAACCTTTTATTCCTTTCTTTTTCTTATTTTCAAAACATGCATTGCATGAATGATGGTTACAGTTTTGATAATCTGTTCATTTGTATTGAAAAAAAAATCCACAAGATTTCACAGGTTAGTGTAATTTCACTTTTACTTTGCACGCAGACTCTGCATTAATGGTTTGCTAATATCATCGATTATTTGAAAACTATGGTCTAGATGCTCTAATTGGATTCTTAAAGTAAATCATTTAAAGTTCTTTAATTAACTCCATCGTTAAGATCCAACGACTGAATAACCTTGAAAACAGTTTGTGTCCTATAATTGATTTGATACTTGAAATTGTGTAATTTTAAATGCTTATTGTTGTTTAAGAAATAACGTGAATAGAATTTGGAGCTTATTTTTATGTAAATTATTTAATGCTGACTTCACTTTGTTTACAGTAGAATAAGTTAATGTGGAAATCGACAATGCGCAGTGGTTATAATGAACCTCATTCCTTAAGAATACTAGTAGAAAAACTTAAAAAGTTTTTAGCTTTAGCATTGCAGTCTACACTGGAAAGGAAATTACCAACAGTAATTATCAAACAAAGCTGTATTCTTAACTTTTTGATAAGAATTAACCGGAGAATTGTTTTCATTACAGTAATTCAATAGACATACAGCTTATTTGGAGGAAAATATATGGAAACAGTAACCAGTTAATCAATGGGCTGACTTTGTATCCGAAAATAAAGATGACTTCATTGCATGTAAAGTTCGAATTCATTGCTCCTATATTTCGTTTGTTGAATTGTCATTCATTTTAAAATTTATAAATATTTGCAAGTTTTTTTTTATTGATTTCATAAAATCAACATATGAAATAACAAAGTTTCAGAATTCCTTGATTATGTTGCCATTTATATAAGCTGAGTCAAATGTTCTAATTTTTTTTTACATCATAATTAAGTTAAGAAATATATGAGGGTAAAAATCAATAGATGCTTATAACCCACTTTATTCTAAAGATGTTAAAAATATGAAGTGGCAATACAATCTACAGGAATTATACACTAAAATATGGCATTTCTATCTTTTGTTTTGATTTCCAAAATTATCTCTCATGCGTAAGGAGAAGTAACGATGAAGGACTTGTGTTATTTTAGAAATAGATTTTTGAACGATACCGTGTAAGCACAAAATGCTGATCAATACAGTTCATTGTATAAACAGAAGGCTTAATG